AACCCCACCCCCCCCCCCCCCAAAAAAAGAGAATTTCATGAATGCTTCCAGCAACTGTAATATAGAATTCAGTGGAGACCATTAAATGGAGTTGTCAGTAAACCTACGAAAGGAGATCTCGATACCTTAAAGGAGAACTATGGGGTTAAGTCTTTTCCCCATAGTTCTCCTTAAGGTAACGGGAGGACACAAACTAGCGTCCTACCGTCACCCTAAGCTCAGTATATAGAGAGCTGCTGCTCGCGGTATACTGAGACGCCGCAGCTGAAGCAGATCCCGACAATTGTGTCGGGATCCGCTCAGCTGCGTGCCTGACAGCTGGCTCTGCCTATCTAGAGGCAGAGAACGAAAGGAGATCTCGATACCTTAAAGGAGAACTATGGGGTTAAGTCTTTTCCCCATAGTTCTCCTTAAGGTAACGGGAGGACACAAACTAGCGTCCTACCGTCACCCTAAGCTCAGTATATAGAGAGCTGCTGCTCGCGGTATACTGAGACGCCGCAGCTGAAGCAGATCCCGACAATTTGGTCGGGATCCGCTCAGCTGCGTGACTGACAGCTGGCTCTGCCTATCTAGAGGCAGAGCCAGCTGTACCCGCCCCCTCCCCCGTCCGTTCCGCCAGTCAGCGCTGGCGGATCGGAGCGCGGAGAGGGGAATCCATCCCCTCCTGTTTCACGGCAGAGAGCCGTGACAGGATCGAGAGGTGAGCGAAGGCCGGTATGTGTTCGCTCACCTCCCGATCTACTGAGCCGACCTGTGACAGTCTCATTGTCACAGGTCGGCTAGAACTATGAGGTGAGTGGAAATCACTCCCCTCATAGTTCTCCTTTAATGTTTGGCTCTCGACTGGTATCCTATGATTATGTATACTTTAAAGCCTTGGTTCTCAACCGGGTGGTCGTGACCCAAAAGTGGGTCACCACCCCGTTTTAAGTGGGTTGCTGTGTACCTTCCACTTTTCTAAGCGAGAGGCTCTCAGCCTCCCCCTTTTGCAGCACTGTCGGTTCTCGCGCCAAGCAGCCATTTAAAATATGCTGCCCAATGCCGAGTGTCTGCTTGAGGTGGGATGCGCTTGGGCTATGGCCGCGAGGGAGCGAAATCAATATTTTCAACTTCCTCGCGTGTTCTATATAGGTGGCTGGACCAAAGTGGCGTCACATTCTGGCTCCCGAAACCTCTACAGGGCTCACAATGCACGTATGGATGTCCGTCACTGCACAGCAGCCCACACTGGACCCCAGGCTGAGGATCCACTCCAGTTCTCGTAAGGTGTGGAGACTGGGTGGATCTTTTAAATGGCAACCCAAAAGCACCTCCCACCCACAGTTCGATCGCCCACACCAGAACGCACGGTACCGCAATGCTGTGCATCCTATTGCAGTGTGACTTGGGTCGCAACTTAATGACCAAAGACAAAACGTGGGTCCTGAGGTTGCACAGGTTGAGAACCACTGTTTTAAAGGATAAATGCATTTTCAGAAATAGTCCTCTAATATGCCTTGCTTCTGCAACCGTTGCAAGAACACCAGTAGGAAAGAGGGGACCTGTCTTGCCAAGAGTCCAGAGTTTCAACACCATTGCCTCAATCTTCTGTGTGAGGATGGGAGGGTTAAATGTGGTTCTGCTGGTCATCAGTAGAGAGCCTTGTTAGGAGAGAAACTCTACACTGAGCAGCTCATCTCCCAATCTATTACTGAAGCTTATATCAACACATTACTTGGAGGCTGCAGGCAGTGGCGTCTAAATCCTAGGGATGCAGCAATACTGTTTTTTTCGGTATTGAGTACTGATTTTTTTGTTCGGTACTCGCTGATACCGAATACTGAAACCGAAAGTCCCTTTAGGGAAGCCGGGCGTCATGTAATTACTCGCCACCCCTCTTCCCGATTAGCCAGGAAGCTGTCTCCATGCTCCCTGGTCATTACACGCCACCTGGCTTCCTGATTGGCCAGGAAGCCGGCTCCATGCTCCTTGGTCATTACACGCTGCCCAGCTTCCCGATACTGGAAGTCCCGGTATCGTGATAGGCATTGGGAGCATTTGGCTGAGTATGAGTACTTGTCCAAATAATTGGTATCAGCACTATTACTAGTATCGGTGCATCCCTACCAAACCCAATTACATTTGACATTTCTGTAATTACCTTATGCCAGTGGTTCTCAACCTGTGGCTCGCGACCCAAAAGTGGGTCACAACCCACTGTTGAGGGGGGTCACCACATGCTTTGTGCTGCGCTAGGTGAGAGGCTCCTCAGCCACCTCCTAGAGCAGCAGAGTGTTAGTTCTCCGGCCGTGCCGCTAGATGGCGCTGCAGCACCGGCAGCCGAGGAGGATCAAAGAGAGGGGAGCGGGCGGGAGTGAGGGGAGTTGAATGGCGGCTTGACCACCAAATGCAATATGTTAGCTGCCATCTTAGCCAAAATAGGCACCAATGTCATATTGGGCTACATTCTTCAGTAGGATGACTGGACAGAAAGCTATATTTGAAAATATACTATGCTATCATAATTTTAATTACCTTCTAATGTTCTACTGAGAAAAAAACCAAAACAAAAAACATATAATAAATATATATCAGGGGTAGGCGACCTCAGCCCTCCAACTGTTGCCTACTCCTAATTATACAGGTGAAAATCGAATAATTAGAATATCGTGCAAAGTTCATTTATTTCACTAATGCAACTTAAAAGGTGAAACTAATATATGAGAGAGACTCATTACATGCAAAGCAAGATAATTCAAGCCGTGATTTGTCATCATTGTGATGATTATGGCTTACAGCTCATGAAAACCCCAAGAACCCCAAATCCACAACCTCAAAAAAGTAGATTATTACATGCAATCAATAAAACAAGGATTGTACATAGAACAATATCGGACCTCTGAAAAGTACAAGCATGCATATGTACTCAGTACTTGGTTTGGGCCCCTTTTGCAGCACTTACTGCAATTACTTTTGCACGATATTCTAATTATTCGAGTTTCACCTGCATATATTTATATATATATTAGGGCTGTGCAAATTAACGATTCATTTCTCGATTAATCGTCAATCTTTTTGATCGATTAAAAAAATTTTGATTGAATAAAACATTTTTGAAGCTTTCTGCACGAGCGCCAGCCAAGACATCGGCCTATACACATACAGCACAGCAATGAAGTAATAAAATGAACTAGGATCACACTAATCCAGCACGTTATTATTCTGAGTTGCCCCACTCAAGCGGCGGCCATATTGAGTGGGGCACGTGAGATTCATAACGTGCTGGATTAGTGTGATCCGAGTTCATTGTATTACTTCATTGCTGTGCTGTTGGATCTGTATGTGCGTTATAATTGATCAAAATTAATCGATTAAAAAAAAATTCGATTAATCGAACACGAAAATTTTAATCATTACCAGCCCTAATTATACATATTATATATATATAATCTCGCAGCTAGAAGCTGTATACCTAAGGTAAGCAAACTTCCGCCATCCAGTTGTGGTGAAACTACAAAGCCAATGCGATCCAAATATGAGGCTGTTGTAGTAAGGAAAACTATTTTTTTAGGAACCCTAAAACACGAATTACAAATTACTATAGTCAGATAAAAATAAGTAATTCTAGTCTTCAAGTGTCATAGCGTCTGTGATATCTCAGATTATATTCTGTGCAGCTGTTTTCTCTGTATTTTCTAAGCCATTACAAGGTAGCAGTGCCTTCAGGTGTGATGAAAGGACAGGTAGTTCAGCGTTCAGTACATTATTGTTCCCTGCAATGATTACCGAATCTCAGAATAATAAGTGTGGGCGTTTTTTTTTTTTAAACAGAAATGAATTTTGGAAGCACCTAAGCCGATTACTGCCAGCAAAAGGGTCTTGAGGCATGAGTTATTGAAAGCTATACAACAGCTGAAGAAACAAGGGTGAGACGGAGGCAGCTGAAGCCATTGCTGCGTACAAGATGGAGGCCAGAGCTCACTCTCCAGATGGCTCCATTGCTTTGCCAAACCCTGTAAGCCCTTGAGCCTAACAGACATTTTCCATGGCTGCCCCTAAGCCAATCAGCTGCAGGCATATGCGGTTGGCCTCTCATCTGCCATCAATACCCAAACCAAGAAACAGTGGAAAAATCACTGAGATCCGAGGGGGGGGAATTTAAGGCCTTGAAAAGGGGAGTGAAGTAAACCATAATCGCTCTGGATTTCAGAGCAGTAAAAACCAGAAAGTCTATTAGGAGTTCTTCATGCGGCGGTCATCCGGGACCCCACGTGAAACCCGACGGCGGCGTTTGAATTAAGTGCGGTTCACCTCTGCA